CTCTTATTTATATATCTTTTCTGAATGGAACATTGAAAGGTGTGTTAGCTGTGCTTTACTGTATTTTCTATTTTAATATATGCTGTTTTCAAATACATCGGAGTCTGAGTCACAAAGTATTCTTCCAAAAGAAACGCGATTCAAATAAATAAAATCAAGTTTCGAAAAATTTATATTAAATATATTTAAAATGTGCAGTTCGAATGAATGAATAGAAAATTTTAAAATAATTACCTGAAGAGACAATGCAACACAAAAAATTAAAATAAAAGTCTAAAAATTGAAAAATTATCTAAAATAATAGCTATGACTAAAAAAGTATAGTATAAAGAAAACTATTTGATAATAAACAATGCACCTTTTATTTAAACTACACAATTCGAATGAGTAAATAGAAATTTTTAAAACAGTTATTTGAAAGAAACCATGCAACTTAAACAATTAAAATGAAATTCGAAAAAGAAAAAAAAGTATTTAAAATAATAAGATAAAAATATAATATAAAAAACATTATTTAAAAGAAAGAACGATGTTACTTTTCCCCCCCTCTCACGCATAATGTAAAAATAAGTTGCCATACATTAAGAAGTTTGCCAAGTGAACTATTCTTGGCATAAACTGAAAAAAAAAAAAAAAAAAAAAATGTGCAATATAAATGTTTGAATTTCTCCATAAATTTTGCACCAAATTTTACAAAATTGAATATGTAGGCATAATTTGAGTCGTAGAATTGAAGTATGTAAAAAAATTGGTATGTTATTTCAGAAAAAGTCTGATTCTTGTGTCAAAATACCTATGTTAGAATAATGCTATATATAAATCTAATATATATCCTAAGTCACGCTTTTGAGCCATGAAAAACACAATTTGAATTTTGTCAATCAGCCCAGTAGAACAGGAGATACAGAACTGTCCTTTTTTTTTTTTTTTTTTTTTTTTTTTTTTTTTTTTTTTTTGCGCAGTGTACACATATACATCAACACATACAACCATACAAACATGCACACATGTTTGCATTTTAGAATCCTGTCCTTATAACAGAAGTATGCCAGAAAATCTAACAAATTCTTGTTAGTGAAATGAAAGTACAATAACTGCCGTACAAAATGCCTAACATGTAGAGTGGACTTTCTTAAAGTGAAAGACAATTTTATTACTAAAGGTGCATTCAAATAAAAGTCAGCAGTTACATTACAGTCAGCAGTTACATCTGCCAAACCCGATGAATACATCAGAACTTCTTTAGAAAAATGGTTTGAGGATAAATATGGAAATGAAACCACGCCATACTGTAACTCAAATAAATGCAAAGGAATTTTTCAGAAACCTCAATGGAATACAACATGGAACACCTGCAGATTTTCCTTAGTCAAAGTATAATAATTCAAAATGTCGACGGTACTATTCAGACAAAAATGTCTCATCATTCTGAAAGATATTTCTTTTCCTGATTTCTTTTGTAATATTTATAAAATAAATGTTTAAAAAATGTCTATGATTTATTTGTTAAAGGCTGTTAAGGCGTAAAATGCATCTATGTAAAAAACCTGTGTTTGGTGTGCTTGGTTTTCTGTGGAGTAAAGACTTATTGAGTTCAATTCTAAATAAAAATGTGATACACTCCTAAATGAGGGAACCTATTTCTACATCAAACTATTTTTTTTTTTTTTTTTAGTAAGGCAACATGAGCAATAAACCAAGTTCTTTTTTATGTATCTTACCATAATGGTCTCAAACTCAAATTGCATATGGGCTGAATACACGATCTAAACAGCTGGTGGACATCTGCTTTTTTTTTAACAAAGCAACATTTTAAACTAAATTTTATTCACTAACTATTTATTAAAACATACATCAGCAGAAATAATAATGATGCAAATGAAAAAATTCCACATTATACTTATTTCCTACCCTGAAATCCAAAGACTGGTACCTTCGAAAAATTTATGCAAGTTACTCTTTGTCAAGCCCATTACCAGCTATTAAATTCTCAAAGCTGATTTTTATATCAAATAATTTTGACATGCCGGATTAACTACAAATAGCTTACTTAAACTAAAAATAAATAAATTATGAATACTTTCCAAGTGGATCAACACTTGAAAATATATAATTAACAGCACTTCTTTTATTTATTAAATGTATCTAATCACAAATATATAAAAAATTTATATATTTTATACAAATAATTTATAAACTTCTTCATTTCTTAATACAACTACAAATACCTCATGGTGTTTTTATTTTGATAAAGTTCATAAGCTTAGAGAAAAACTGCTAGAAACTACAGGGTTTGTCCACAAAATAGGACTGATTTTTTTTTAAAAAAATGTTCACAATTTTGATATATCGACTTAATAGTTTTCAAATCATGTCCCTTCTGCATCAACACAGCATTTCCAATGACTGCCAATCACTAAAGACTTCCTGTATCGCAGAAACTAGAATGCTCTTCAACTCCTCTGGACCGAACCATGGTGCTGTCCTTTCATGACCCTTTTCCACATCTGGGCTGTGGGGTGGAAGCTGTGTGATGCCATGTGTGGTCAGGATGTCCATGACAGCAAAGGCAGTGTGGCTCAGCAGTGTGGCGAATTTTCAGGATGGAGCTTCCATAATTCAACGATTGCTGGAAGGATGCAAGAATTCATTTTTTGAATCAGAGGTGGTCAGAGTTCCAAAGATTTCACACATTCACTATTTTCATCCCTTTTTCCTGTTGAAGGGTGCTCTGACCATTGCTCATCTTTAACTTGCTATCTTCCCTCCTGAAACAATTTGTACCACTCAAAAACACTTGATCAACCTATGGCATCATTCTCATAAGCAGTCTTGATCATGTCATGGGTCTCACTAGCAGTTTTACCCAAGTTTGACGCAAAACTACACCATTTGATGTTGCTCTAACAAACAATTCATTGGGAAGATGACAAGGCACCTTACAAGGGATTCACATTAAACTCAATCTACACTTCATGAAGACTTGGAGACAAATGGTGAAAAGTATGCTGGTAGCTAAGATCCCTCACAGCCTATTCAGTGCAGTATCACATGTAGATGCTGATCAGTTAATCTGTTCTCTTCTTATTAATTTTCAACTATGGGAAAAACTCTTCACAAATAAATGTACTCCCAAACAAAGTGATTATTATTATTATTGCAAAAAATTGTAATTAAGGATATTTATAGTTGGAGAAGTATAAAAAAAAGTTTTGTTTTGAATGGTAATGAAAATAATGTCAAATTGGACTCCAAATGATTAAAGTCTTAAACTTCATCTTCAGATTCTTGTCATAATAATGCTAATTAATTTACAATAAATGTATTCACAGGCCATGTAAAATTGCTTTAGGAACTGCATGCAACCTGCCAGTTTGAGATCACTATTTTACCTTATGTCCCTTTAACGGACATTAACCACCCCACTTTCCTCGGTAGAATCCCTTTTCCCATTTTTAGCATATGCATAAATTTTAACAGAAATCCATTTACCAGTTACACAGTGCACAAAGACAACTTTCACTATGATCACTCAGCGCTATTTATTTATTGTCATTTCATCAAAACACTATTTTCTTTCCAGACATTCCATTCTCTCTGTTCCTTTCTTTCAGAATACTTATAAGCAGATGTACTGTAATAATGTATAGCAGATGCAATCATCAGTCACTCATGATAGCAGGTCACTCCTACTATGCATCAGAGGCACAATGATGGCATGATGATATGTTGATGAGGTGCTACAGCCAATTATGCTACCTTACCTTCAATGGCTACAATATAGTATTTTCCAGCAGGACAACGCAGCACCACAGACACATTTGTTAGACTACAAGCCTTGCAGCATGTCACATTGCGTCCTTGGCTTATAACATCCTCTGATCTTTTGCAGTTTGAGCATATTTGGAATATAATTGGTCATTGTTTGTCAGTTCTCCCTCAGCTATTAATGGAGGAAAGGTTTGGAGTAAGGTTCAGAGTATATGGGCTCCATGTCCTCTACAAGGTACAGCTTCAACAAGTATATCTTACTGGCTCCCTGTATATTTCAGCACTGCATAAATATATTTTTCAATATGTAACATCACTTATTTACATATGCATGTTCTAAGCATCAGTTGACATCACATTCTACCCAATTTTTCATGGTGTACATTTTCTATGTGAGGCAGTAAATGTAGGGAGCAAGGCTAAAAGTTTGGTAAGCATTGCTCTAGAATATCTCTGATTTATTTCTGGCTATTTCTGGTATTTGCAATAAACAGAAAAATGTGTTAAAAAAAAATGATAAAAAAAAATCAAGGAACATAGCTTCAGCTAAAATATGTTGTACTTTACAAAGTTATCTTTCTTTAGATAATATGCAATGATCCCATCAGTCAGTTCACTTTCAAAACATGTGGTAAATGCATTTTGTGAAAGTTGCTTCAGGGGACCTTATAATGATATGAATTTTCCTAGTCTTTATCATTTCCATTTTTCGTACAAGAAAATGCTTTAATTTAATTGCTGCCAACTATCGTACTGTCAAAAAAAAAAAAAATTATTAAATTGTGCCTTAGAGGTACAGACTACAAATTGTGTTACATACAGAAAATACTTAGAAATGTATAGTGGGAAAATAAATACAGATCTTTATGGTTCTTTGCAGTAGTTTGTCAACAATTTTACAAATAGAATAGCACTGAAATTACATAAAATTAAATGCTCTTTAGAATAAAGTCAAACTAAACCATAATGAACTTCAATGAATCATAATAATAAGTAATAATAATAACAATAATAAATTATGTTAATTTTGTTATTATTATTAAACTACATATCATTATTGTGGTTTCTGAATAAAGAATTATATACTCAATAAGAAATAAATAATTACATATTCAGCAAGGTAAGCAATTTTGGATATGATTTTTAATGAATTTATAAATTCATTAAATATATCCAAAATGTAACCTTTAATTAAAAAAAAAAAAAAAAAAAAAAAAACCTAATATTACCCATAGGCTGTTTCTTGTACATGTATGGTGGAATATGCTTTTCTTTAAATTTGGAAGAACCTTTTATTACACATCTTGTCATTGGTATCACATCAGAAAATTCTCCGACGAACATACTTTCATTAAGATGCGATTTCATTAAACTACTTTCTAGTACATTAGATACTGTTTTTTTGTCATTATTCACATCTTCTTGATAAGAATTATGAATTTTATCCTGTTTTTGGATTCCAAAAATAATGGCTTCTTTTTGATTAGAACTTGAACTAGACTCTTGATAATCCCAAAGAACAGAATTTATCCAATGTAAATTATCTGATTCAACTGGTGCTGCAATGTCATCAATGATAACAGGGTGACTACTCTCCTTATCATTATGGTACATATTACAAGTATCCAAAAGCTTCTTAGAGCCTACTTGAGATACATCACTGTTGCATTTCACATCATCACATACGTTTTTGGAGATGGAAGGAGTTTTATAATCCATTTTCAATGTTTTTTCAATACCAATATCATGTGCAGAAATTTTTAAATTAAAATTTTTGTCTTTCTGTTTCAAAATAATTCCAGATTTCAAATTTTTCTCAGGAATATTTTCATCTTTTGGCACATACTTGCAATTTTCAGCATAAGAACTATCACAACAAACAGAAAGACAATCAAATTCATTAATAGGTAACTTCGAATTGCACTTATTAGAGGATAATTCAAATAGTAAATCATCAAATTCTTTAACCAACTGGCTGTGATCTAAAGTTTCTTTCATCATTGCAGATATATTAGGAGAACAGATATTAAATGAACTTTTATCAGAATTAACAACTTTCACAGCACCAGCTGTAATGCCCTGCATATTTTTGCCCTTTTCATCAGTATTTTGAGTTCTCCATTCATCACATTTCTGAACGCTTGGAAACATTCTACTAGGGTCCCAAATCCCGGATAAATGACTGAAGGAGATACTGCTTTGATCTTCTATTATTTCATAAATAATACAACCTTGTTTACCTGAAGGGGAAAAAAAGGTACAATTTTTATACTTTTACAAAAATTTCAACTAAATTCACAAATTTTAAATAAATTTTTGAAAGTATATGTTTTTGCATTTAAATAAATTTAAATGCAGAAACATATACTATTTGCAGTTTAAAAGTTCAATAAAATAATAATATACAAAAGATATATCATAATTAAGTCTGAAAATACTGTAATAAAACAAATGACTTCTTGGACATAAATTAATTCTTGGACACAATCTAAAAATTAACAATAATTTTTAATCTAAAAACAATTTGAAGTTATTAGATAAGGGGCATTGTCTAAGAGCATGCAATGCACAAGGCATATGTCTATTAATGTAAAATTATGAAAAACAAATTATTTTTTAACTAAATTGTATAGCAAAATTCTTATTAGAGTTCTGCAAACCAGACCTCAGGTGGATTGAAAGGGTGACCAGTTACTGAAAATGTCAAATTTTATGGAAGAAGGTACGTGTTATTCACAACTCGTAATAAATAATTCATTCAACACCTAAATTCAAAGCAATTTTATTAATGCCCTCCCTTTTTCCAGTTTATTGTCCCCCTTTTCCAGACAAAAAATTTCATTTCTACTGTCATATTAATTTACTTTCATTCATTTTTCATTTATTTTATATTGATTATTTTTTTAATATTTCATTTATTTGTTTGACATTTTCTTGTGTACTGATAACACAACATTCATAAGCCTAGATATAAACTGTTGTAACTGTTGTGACTTATCTCACTTAACTGACAGTAACATCAGAACAAGCCCACGAAATTCATCATGGCAAGGAGTGCAAAACTGCACCTGTTGATGGCCTTGATCACCATACAGGTGACAGTATGACTTTACTCAGTTCCACCCCCAATTTTGATAGAGAGTACCCTAGGGGGACAGCCCAAGGATCTCCCATACAGGTGATATAAACTAAGAAACTCTACTCAGGATGAACTGAAAGTTTAGCCTACAATAAGATGTAGCCATAAAACTTCAGACAAGCCTGCTACTGGTTAACAAGAGAAACGAATGTAAACACACCAGCAGCTACTTAACTTCCTTCAGCTAGTAGGCCACTATGGGTAGACTGAAATGTCCATGAAAAGAACAAACCTGTTGCCAAATATGTTAATACAGGTTCCACAAATAGTGTCACAAAGGAAAAAAAACAAAAAATTGCAAAATTAGAATACCATAACAAATCGTATTATTAATTTATTAAACTTCCTTTAATTTTTTTTATGCTTTAATTTCTTATTTACTTATTTAGCATAATTTAACTTAATTCATTAATACTTTTGTCTTTTTATATTTTACTTGATTTTAATTATTCACTATATAAGGTTTTATTTATTTTCATTATTCTTGATAACCTTCCATAATGTTTCAACATTTCTAATTTTAGAAATTAAGCTCTAGTTGTAATATTATAACAAACTGAAAGCTTTCAGATTATGAGCAATCAAAAGGACAGATTTAATTTAAAAAAGCAAATGAAAATAGCTATAAAACTATACATATAAAGATGTGGTAACAAAATTTTAAATCAATAGAGAATTTATACAGTATAAAGTCTGAAATTTGGACGTCCAATATCCAAAAAGATCTAAAATCTGGACCTGCGGACCATTAGCAAATTTTTCTTTTTAAGAATTTTTTTTTTGGGGGGGGGGGGGAAGAATATACTGTCCACATGCACATTTGATATTTTTCTATTGTAAAATATGTGGAGAGTTCAGGTTCTTAATTCCACTTTGGCACTAAATAAACTACCTCTGTTTTGAAGATATGATCATTCATTAACATAAAACATGTATGATCAATAATTTTGCTCCACAGCCATGTTTTTGCTTAGCATACATCTCAAACCAAAACATTCTACATTGAAACTATGTTGATTTTATAACTACTGAATAATTTATATCCTTGATGCCAATTTGACTAATCTTCATTTATTATTTTTTGTTTTCATCACAGCATAACTATCAACTCAAGGCAGCCTGTGAAATGACTCATGTGTCTAAATAATTTTTTTGTTAAATACAAGTAATGTGTACCAAAAAGCATGATAACCTTTTATGTTGCCAATATAAGACTTTAGCTAACTGTATTGCGGAAGTGTTGAATATGCTGATGAGGAGAAATTTCTTTGTAAATGATACTCAGAGGCCAAACGATTAGATTTAGTGCTTTCTGAATTGAAAATAACTTATCTATCATTCAGGTAAACCCACGACTAGCGCTAGAGCTGGTGCAGCTGCACTGGGGAGCAAAATTTTTAAAATTTAGAAAAACCCCAAAATGGCAAAATCCTTAGAATTTTAGGAAAGCACTGCGACGCAAAATTTAGGGGCAACAAAATTTCTAAAATTTAGGATAAGCTTTAATCTAAGAGACTACAGCCTTAAATATATGTGGAAATTTATTTATTCAGGACTCAGAAAAGCCTTAAGCAAGTGCAGGAAATAGACATAATAATAAATAACTCAACTCATATAATTCTGGCTTAACTTCAGCAGTGCAAGACAAATTTTGAGAAGCAATATGTCTACAATCATCAATATCATGATACATTGCCAACAGAATATAGCAAACTATCATAATAGAGGCAAATTTGAAGGTTTTCATACATCTCAAATGAAAAGTAAAATTTTCCAATGAAGAAATGTGGAGAAGCAGTAATAATTGAAGATGACATAACAGAAGTTCTTCATTCTAATGATAATGCCTTAATGATCAGTTAAAGATGGCAAAATCTGTAGTATGGTTCTAAATCCACAAAATGTCATTATCGATAGACACAGAAATTGCTGAAAGCAAAAAAAAAAAAAAAAAAAAAAAAAAAAAAAATTAGATTGACAATTTAGTGGGAATTACAATTATTATTGAAGTAATTTAAATTTCTGAAAAATAAATATAATCTTATGAAGTTAAAATATGTCAATGGTTTTTAATGCATGTGAGAAATTTATATGTATTCTCACTGAAACTGTTACTTATATTCTTAGTCTGGAAGACCTTAAAAAATAATTTACATACTTTTGTACACGAAATCTGTTGTTTATTCATATCAGCATTTACATTAATAGAGAATTAAATTTATTTTATATAATTCCAATCACCTAGTTAATCAGAAGCTATATTTATAAGTTTTTGTACTTCCAACATTTGATATATCTGGTTTTTTAAGCAAAAATTATTTGCATTGCTTACCTGTTGGCAGTATTAAGTGAACAATTTTTTTTTTTTTTTTTTTTAATGTTAAGTTTTTCAACAATACAGTAATGAACAGCAGAGAGAAATGTATCACATAATTAATTATTATTGAAGCTGATGCATGTCTAGTGCACATGAAAATAATCTTTTATTTTATTTCTGAAAGTATGTTTTTACAATGCTCTGCAAGCAGCTTTTTATTTCCTCAATGTTTTGCCTTTCAGATTACTAGGATTATTCTCAGAAATTCAAAGTTTTACATTAAGTTTGTGTATGAATACAAAATAATTTTTTAATAAAAAGTCAGAATTTTTTGTATTGCTTGGCCATGCTCAAAATAGCTTTCCAGATATTGTGGGACAAAATTGCCTTACTTGCGACGAGTTCTGTTGACGATAAAACTAATTTTTTCAAATGAAAGTTAAATGCTGTTTGGACTTTTGAACCCAATAATGTTTGCATCCATTATTACTAGAAAAAAGCAATCAGACCATTCACCAAGAAAGAGGGATACTTGATGTTCCAGAATTTTAGGTTTCGAATGTAACAATGAAAAACATTGGCCTCAGTTTTCTGCAAGTTTTCAATTATATATGGAATGCATTTTCATTTTTTATCACAGAGCTCCAATTATCTGGATTCCACATTAATCAAAGTTTTTGATTTTTACCGAAAGAAATGTGTTTTGTATTTTTGGTTGGGTTTTAAGAAACCGAAATTATTTTAGTTTTTTTTTTTTTTTCTTATCTCTATAATCTCTGGTGAAACAAAACCTGATAAGTAATGAATTTCTTTCCCTACAAGAATATTAAAAGACCTATACAGATTTGATTCCAGTACTTTAGAACTCCACATATTATTTGGAGATCTAAATTACTTGGTACAGATCAATAACCAGTTCATATACTGTTTTATTTAATAATGAAAATTTTACAGTCGAGGAAAACCTGTTCCAGAAAAATAACAAACCATATTTATTTAGATAATTTAGTGTGTTGGGCAATCTTTAAAAAAAAATTTAGTCAGAAAATATATAGATATGTACAATCTGCATTTAATGTACTTAAATCTAATTTATGAATTAAAAAGGTATTATTCTTATGTTGATACATCAAAGTTTTACCTTACATTAATAATGTAGTAAATAATCTAAAATATAATAATAAAAAAAACTTTTTATGAAACCATTTCTCCTTCTCCAGATACACTTCTTTTAGTAAGTACAATACTATGTACAATGCTGCATATTTATGTATGTAAATAAGGTATGTACCAAAGCCAATACTTTTCCAGTAAATTAGCCTACTATTTTTCAAACAGAAAATATCACAAAAAATCACAGCATAATTTTCCATAAATTGTTAAGTAAGTATTGGACCACTATGATGAATGAAAGTAACTCATTTAATGAATGGATTAATAAACAAATATCTACCCCATACAAATAAATTAAAATTGAACAGTCATGTAGGAATTGAACACCGCAGGAAATATCTTTCCTGGGTTAATTCCTATATGACAATCCTGGATTCACTTGCTGCTAACACAAACTAATTCATGCCTTTGCATTTTCTTAATATATAATGCAAAAATGAGCCAAGAAACTTTTCTAGAAAAGAACTCATTTGGAGACAAATAACAACCTTGTTATACGCTTCATCAATAAATAGATCAACAAGCATAAAATACATTTATTTACTGAGCCCATAAGCATAATAAGCTGAATGTGGGTCAAGGATGTATCACTCTAGAATTTGATATTAAATTATATTTATTTATGACAATACAAATAAAAGATTCCATGTATTTATTTTTTTAACTCTTTAGATATTCCTAATTAATTTGTATTTAACCAGAATTCGGAATACGGCTGAGAAACAAAAATTTTCTTTACGTTAAGATATTAATTAAGTCATAAAATTACAATATTTTACAACATAATAAAACTATAATTTTAAAAACTTCAGTTTAATCTTGATGATGTTTGTTTAATTTTGGCAAATTATCAATAATAAGAGTTGTGAACAATAGATACTACTTACAAAATATTGAAATTTGCAAAATAAACAAAACTTAGTAGTCACAGTCAAAGATAATATTATACATAACAAATTAAAAGTTTACTTAAACACTGTTTTCCACCTATATTACTGATAGTATTTATCTATTTTACTGTTTATTGGATTGAAAACTGAAAATTAAAAGCAGTTTCAATAAACACTGTTGTTGCTATGCGAAAAAAATATAGCATCATTTTCATTCGATGTTTGGCAACAGCCATTCTGACATCTAATGTCAAATAGTTTGTAAACATTTTGTTCAACAAGGTGACTCGATCTTCGAATTTTTTAGATTTCAAGAAATTATTTCCAAATTTGGAAGCACCCCTTACGTTGATTTTATTGTTATATGTTTGTTCTGCTTTATATTTTGAATAAGTATTTTAAGTTGTGATTTGAGTTGAACTAAGGTTTTGAAATTCGCTATTGTCGTAATACCTGGATTTCCTGTTTCTGATTTCTGGTGCCCAATGCGTAACATTCTGGCTTTATATCCCAGTAACGAGGTATATCACAAGTTAATAAAAAGTATTCGTTCATTCAGGAATCTGAGAAGAAACAGAGTAATACAGACACATCCGAGAAGCTTTTTGAAGAACTCTAGTAGTTTGGCAGTGTAATTTTTTGAACATCGAACCGTATTTAAATTAACACTTACTTTTCATGAGACTTTCCTTCATAATTTTAACATTGGAAGAGAATCTTAATAAGAGAAAGGCATGAAATTTTTAGAAAGCAGTCGATTTGAAGCTATAAATTCTGCTCTGCGTTTTCAGACAGGAGACTGTATAATAAGTGGAAGGTAAGCGTGTTAAAATTTTTTCTCCTCCTAAATAAACGCCGAGTTTAAAACTCTCAATGAAGATATATCTCCTATCCCCTTTTTATACAGTGTTTTCATATATGTTTGTAGAACAACTGTATAGTTTTTATTCACTTGAATCATTTTGAATGTGAAATGTAATTATTGTCTTGGCATGCCTTATTTTTTCCTATAAAAATATAAAACGCTTCATATTGTCTTGAAATTTATATGGAATAATCAACAGTTTTTTTAACTTCTTATAACTGGGTTATAATCATAATGTTATCTTTATATCCATTTTGGGCGCTGAGTAACTGAAAATTTGAAATTGTCTTTATTTGTAATAAAATTTCTGTTAACTGGAAAAAGATCTCCAATGAAAAGGTAATAAAATAGCTTAAATAACTTAATTATCATTTAAAAGTCATTTGCTCTGTTTCATAACTGGAAAAAGATCTCCAATGAAAAGGTAATTAAATAGCTTAAATAACTTAATCATCATTTAAAAGTCATTTGCTCTGTTTCATAACTGGAAAAAGATCTCCAATGAAAAGGTAATAAAATAGCTTAAATAACTTGATCATCATTTAAAAGTCATTTGCTCTATTTCAATTTTAAAATATGATTAACATAATTAAAAATGTTAATGCCTTTTTTAATGAGTGACTATTATTATAATGTAGTGGACTGATAATATTTCATATATATTCATACTGTTCTGGGTTCTGGTTCAGAAATATAATTAACATAATCGAAAATGTTATGAATGATTTTTTATGGCTAACTAATATAAACTAATGAATTGATGTAGTCCATACATATTCATATTGTTCTTTTAGGTTCTGGTTCAGATTTTACAAAAATATTTATGCAATAATTAATCACTTTTAAGATTTTTTTAATTCAAAACTGTTTTTACGCATAAAAGTAGTTCAGGTGATGTATTTTACATTTATACTGGATATGTATCATAATCTGTGTTAGCATTTTGCAGTTCAGAATTATGTTTAAATTAGTTACCTCAAAAATTTTTAACTATGTGTTATTAATAAAGTTTAAGAAGTATAATTATCTCATGAGTGTATATTAATCTATAATACTGGAATGGTGCAATCACACTCAGTGCTGACCTCACTATAGTACAGTTAGTAATGAGTAATAAATTTCACTCAGTACTGCGTGATTCACTCTTGTATGGCTTGGAAAAATTTACCAGCAGAATAATACGGCTTTGAATGTTTCTGCTAAAATATATACTGCCGAAATGAAGGGTATATACATATAATATATACTGTTTGGTCATGCTCATTTGACATGAGATGTGCACTCACACACAGCGAACTTACCCTCACTTTCTGTGAGAGACATACTGCATTATCATTTGTCTTTCTCACCACCTGATTTATTTTTTTAATTTTTATTCATAATTCATTCCTAAACACACTTATAATGAATGAGAAATGAAAATCTGATAGTAGTTTCTATAAACCCAACTGTTATAAATTTTTAAATTTACTAGGAAGGCTAGAAATTATTAAAATTCCTTAGGATGGCACATCACGTGCCAAGATTTCGATAAAAGTATACCCTTGACGAAACTTCGTAATTTTTGGCGGCACATGGATACCGAGTTTGTGCAGTTCTTTGACTTGCTATTTTGGCTTGTGTAGCAGCGATTTTCGGGCCAAAAATCGCTGCTGCACAAAGCAATAATAACAAGACAAAGAATTGCATAAATCAGTATCCATGTACACATCGACCTACTTCCACTTAATCCCAGAATTGCATAAAAATGGCATTGCAAACTTCCTTGACTTTATCCATGTACACATCGACCTATTTTCACTTTTAAAAAAATCAGAGAATTTCACTAACTAGGCTTTGCGCACTCCCTTGACTTTATCCATGTACACATTGAACTATATTCACTTAAAAAGTCAAAGGAACTGCCAACAAAAAATATATAATCTGAATAACTACATTTTAAATCAAACAGTGAAATAACATAAAAAAGGAAGTTCATCTTAACACTACATGAAGGAAATATCCACTTACCTTATTTACGAATTTATGCATCTTCAGTCAAACAAAATTCGTTAGCAGCATCCAAACGCTTCCTAAAATTATCTGGACTATAATCTGTATACTGGTGTTGCCACATAAATTCACAAAAATAAGAGTAAAAAATATACTCTGTTCGAAAATATCCGATGTTCGACCATACGCATTTCCTTCTTCCAAACAGGACACTTAATAATGGCTACTAAGTAAACCTTCATTCACACACCTGTCAGTTAATGCTTTTTTCCGTTTCGTTCCAAATTCTACAGAAACTTCAAATTAATCTTACCACATTCAACTAATTTATGGTGTAAACCACAAAATAACAATGCACTTATCCAACACACACAAGCCCTTACCTAAAACCCACAACACACATTTTCCAAAATTTTTCTTGCGATTCAAATTCACCACAACCAATTATGTCATAATAGGGTTTCCATAGCATTCAACTACTCAGGTTGTCTTAAATGAGACAACAACTTGGCAATAAATGAAACAACAGCTTTGCGATAATACAAGGGATGCCCTAAAATCTACTCTAACCAAGATTTCAAGAGATAAAAATAAATGAATATTCAATCTGAAAGATTGTAGGGCTCTACTCTTATATATGCCCTAAGATCACCAAATGTAGCGATATATGTTCTGCACTGGTTTTTGCCGCGATTACGTGCTGTGCGGTGGTTTTGGGGACGATGTTGTTTGTATGGCAACCCTTTTGACATTGAAACTTAACTCTTTTACTGCAGTGGTTTGATTGCTCATTGGTTCGTGTCGTGCATGTTTTGAAATGGCTTATGTTGCAATGATGGACGTGATGGCAAGATTTCAGTCGCGTATTTTAGATTGTGTGGAAAGTAAATTTGGTATTAAAAGGTACGATGTCGGAGTTGTTTACGGGTGTGTTTATGAGGATCGAAGTGTATTTTTAGAATTTCTGTGGGACTTTTAAAACGGAGTTCGAAATGTGGAGCTTCTATGAGAACACGGACGAAGAAGGGCATTTCTGATACTTCTTGTGTGGATTTGCGGTTAAATGGTTGCTGGTGAAGTACGTGGCTGTCAGCGGAGTTTAAGATTTTGATCGTATTTTTCATATAGTAAGTTAACTTTGGAGGAAGTTTTTATCATTACTTTCGAAATTTTGAATCGCAGAAAGACATGTAATATAGCAAAATCGTGCCACTTTTGTTCACAGACACTTTTGTTGTGACTGCCGAAATTTTATTAACGAATGTATTATGGTAAGTGCATTTTACTTTACTGTTTTTATTTTGTAGAATCTTATGCTCATTGTTTTTTACTATGAATTTCTGTTGTTATTGTTGTTTTTTGAATTGTTTGTAATTTTAGTTAGTTTATCTTGTTGATTTGTGCGCAATGCCTAGATTGTGCAATTCCTAGATTTTTTTTTAAAGTTTAAACAGAATGCTGTGTACATGGTATTCTTTGAAATTTATTGTTGTTATGTTAATTTATTAACGCAAGGTGTGCGTAGTTCGTAGATTCTTCCGCTGCCTAGATTGTGCAATTCGTAGATGTTTTTTTAAGTTAAAACACATCACCACTGTCTGTGTACATGGAGTTCTTATGTCAAATATTTTTGGTTAGAAACTTTAAGAAAGTTAGAACATTTTTGCTATCTAAATTTTTTTGTTTTTGTTTCGGATTTTTAGCATAAATTGTGTGTTCAAAACATGGTTTTTGGAGACATTTTAGGCTTAAAGTTTGAAAAGTAGACAAAAAATTTAGATAGTAATATGCATCGTGGAGTTTCTCGCCAAAAGTATTTGGGGAGAAATTCGTCGCCAAGCGAGGGCATATATAAGAGTAGTTCCGGTTGGGGAAATAAAGAGAAATATAAGGAGTATGGAATGGCTACAAACATTTTTGCATCTGCAAAATTGGAAAGACAAGAAGTAGTTTCATGTTAAATATAGAGAGAGTTCTTTCACTTTGGATTGAGGACTGCAACTAGAAAAGAATTCACTTATGTCAACTAGAAATTCAAGCAAAAGTTTTTTTTTTTTTTTTTCCTTCACTTAAATGGATTGGATTATTTAATTATGGCAAAGCACACGAGGGCTATCTGTCTAAAGGGAGGGATGCCTTCGGGGAGGACTTTCTAAAGGAAACTGGCTCGTATACATGTTACACATGGGGAAAACCACAAAAACGCCCATGCAGCCAGCCCGTTCATGAATTCAAACCTCAGACCGAACTACCAGTGTTCAGCGTCTTTACTGCTCGGCCGTTGGTGGGCTCTTTCTGCACTTAAAAAAAAAAATTATGAAAATGTTCAAGCAAGCCGAGGGTAATTCTTTTGTTTAAAAAAAATGCTCAGGGATTCATAATGCTTGCATTGTGTGTGAAGGTACAAATGTAGATAAAGAAGCAGTGTCAAAATTCTCAGAGGAGATGAAACAAATTATTGAAGAAGAAGGCTGCTTTAATGAAAAAAAAAAAAATTAACATGGGCGAAAGAGTTATATTGGAAAAAGCTGCCTTCTAGAACTTATTTGTCAGAAAAAGATCAGTTTCACACATGCTATAAGGCACGAAAGGATCAAATTACCTATTGTGAGAAGGAAATGCATCTGGTAATATCAAATTGAAGTGCATACTTTTGTATTGCACTGAAAACCTTCATGCTTTAACAGGATGTGCTAAAAGTTCATTACCTGTGTTTTCACCTTTTAATATGAAAGCTTGGGTTACGAAAGCAGTGTTTAAAACTTGGTTCAATGATTATTTTGTCCCTTTATTAAAAGTTATGGTGAAAAACAAAACATAGCTTTTAAAGCATTTTTGTTATTAGATAGTGTGGCAGGTCATCCTACTGGACTTCCTAATTTTTGTAACAGTGTCAGAATCAAGTTTCTTTCCCCAAATCCTACCCTTGTGCTACAAGCATATATCAAGGGGTTATTTTT